TATAATTTGTATTTTTATTTTTGTTTAGATATAATATTTTAATAAGTGATATATTTTCTTCTACTTATATATAATTTAGTTTTAATAATTTATTTATTTTAGTATATATATGACCACAACTAGAAAAATATTATTTTATCATGTTCGTTCATATTAATCTAAAAATACAACGACTATAAAAACATCATTGTAACATGTTCATTTATATTAATCCGAAAAGACCATGATTATTAAAATATAATTATAACCCATTTATTCATTTATATATTTTATATATTTTTTAAATTTAACAAAAAAATTATAAATTTATTTAAGAAAAATATATAATAATATATTATTGTTATCGTTGTCTTTGAAAATATTATTTAAATTTTAATATTTAAATTAAATTTAAACTAATATCCAATTTATTATTTTTGTAAATATATAATAATAATTTATTTTATAATTTTTTGATAAATAATATAACTTATATTTAAAGAAATCTATAACAAATTCAAATTTAATTTTAAATTTTCGAATTTCTTTTTAAATAAAAATAAAAATATATTATTTTATTATTATTACATTGAATTGACTTATTTGATAACATAAATAAGAGTTATTCAAAAACATAATAGTAGTTAACTAAGTAAAACATGTTTGAACACAAAACATACTTCTATTTTAGTAGAATAGATTGATATAAACTAATCTCTAATTAAATTAATATTAATGGCACATAATATAAGTAATCTAGTAAATTAAATCTATTTTCAAAAAATTATTGAGATTTTCTCTAAAATTAACATCATAAAATTATTAATAACATATGATATAAAATATTATTTTTAAATTGTTTTTATCAATTAATAATATAAGATTATAGTTATTTATACCCCAAATAAAGAAACAATCATCCCACATTTTGAATTATTGAATGATTCTTGCACCATAATATATCACTGTGCATTACTCTCTACAAACAATTTTATATTCACGTTCTTTGTGTTTCCAACAACCGTCGTTTATAATCTATTATATAAAGAGTGGGTTGTGTCTCACAAACTTGACACATCAGCACCTCTTCTTTTGACACATCAGCTCTCTAGAATTGAATTTAGAAATTAATTTTTTTAAAAAAGAATATGAAGAATCTGAGTACATCACATCCTCCTCTATTTAATTCACATAGGTCAAGATGAATTTAATTAACAATAAAAATTCCAAAGCTCTTTTCGATGCAAATTTATCTTCTTATTAATTGTTCGTTCTTCACAACCAAGTTTCGGAAAACCATTAGTTCCCTCTTCACCTTTCATAATTGTATATCATCAGATACTCTTATAATTTCATTGCTTCCACTTGGATTGTGGTGATTCTCGACACTTAAAGATATATGCTCGTTCGTTCAACTAATTGATCGGATGTGATAGTCATATCATATGTAACTCATTTACTCAAATTTGAACCGTCTGAAGGGAAAGTTGACAAATGAAAAAAGCTCGGATCTGAGTGTAAATACTCAGATTATTTCGCTTGGTGTTCTTTTCTTGACGAAAAGAGGTTTGTCTGAGGTTATTCCGTGCATCTAGATTGAGTTATACCAGTGTAAAGAGATGAACACGGCTCGAATTCAATTGTTTGATGAAGTTCCTTAGAGAGCTTTCTATTGTCGTATTGCGAGTAATGAGTATTAAATAAAACTGTCTTGGTTTATTTATTTAGTTATATATAAATGTGTATATATTTCCATGAAACTCTTCTGGTATCAGTCACTAAAGTTTACATCGCTTCTGGTATTTTACAACTCAGAGTTCTTTTGTTCATCAATTATTATAAATAAGGAAAATATTTACATATATATTGTAAGCATATGACTGTGCTTAATTTTGCAGGGAAATGTCGCTTATATTGTAAACATATTAGTTTTTATATTTGAGTACAAACAGAAATTAGTTACTCAAATATTTTGTAAAGTAAAACAATTCTATTTTCTTTTCTCTATCAGTTCACCAGCACAACTTGTGCTATATTGGATTTGTTTCTCTTGTAAATTGCAGTGGTGTTATTATCGCTGAAGGCGTTCTTAGCGCCAGAAAGTCTCTTACGAAGGTGTCTCTTCACGTTTGATTTTTGGAATTTTGTTTTTTATCTGTTTTTAGACTATATAAACAGAGATTTTTCCCTAAAGTTTGGTATTGTTTATTTCTAATCGTCAAGATTATTTTAATTTTGGAGAAGATGACTTGTCAACATTTGGTTCCTATATCATTCTCGCATCAGCTTTGTTCTTTACATATATTGAAGGAATATTCCCGTTGTATGTCCAACTTTCCCGTTGTGGTTGTGTTGGAGTTTTGTACCCATTGCTACATCGCTTTGGCTATTACCTGGATTAGAAAGTATGTAATGTGAAGTGAAAATCTCTTTGGGAGAAAAAACGTTTGAGTTTCATAAAAATGTTGTTAGAATCTCTTCTAAAATTTACATAATTTTGGTTTGAGTACAAAATTTTATTTTATTTTACCAAAGAATTTTTAATATGAAATGAAAAATACCAAAATGAACAAATCTAAACAATGAAACTAAATTACTAATAAAAACATATATAAAGACCTGCGCATATGCGCGGATATGCTCCTAGTTTAAATTAATATTATTTTGTTATCTCGTATTAATTATTTGGCGCCACGTTTTTTGATTGAAACAATTAAGATATTAAAAAATAAATAAGTATATAAAAAATAAAATTTAGGTGAGTAGGACCGACGATGTAAAATTGCTCAATGTTATTTTTCTCTATTGTTTTGAAACGTGTCGTATTCTTATATGTTTTCTAATCAAGTGGAATCCAAGTTGAGTTCTGCAATTGAGTACACGCTTTAACTGCGACATAAGTAACAAAGCTTATCTGTCTGAAAATCAGCAGCAAAAGGTCCGGTTCAGTCATATTTTCTAACCCGTAAAAACACAAATTAAAAACCAAAAAACAAAATTAGATCGTTCATCAAAATATATAATAAATTGATTATATAGAGGTGACAAAAAAATTGTATCATTTTTAATTTTGATTTAATCTAAATAAGAAACCTTTCTCTCTTTTTAAAATTTTTTTTAGACATTAGCTTTAAAACAAATTTTGGTTTATTTTTTGTTTACTTTTGATTTAGGATTTTAAAGTTTTGTTTAATTTTCTTATTCTAAACAGAAATACTTTTAAACTTAAAAAAAAAATAATCATCAAGAGTAGTAATTGTTAAGCTTTTAACATCTAAAATTTACTTTTATTTTTTTATTTTTTTGCTAATCTTATTTTTAAGAGTAACTCTAAATTATCAAGTTTTTTATTGTTAATATTATGTGTCAAAATCTAATCAATTAATTTGACACATATCATGATCAGACGAGTTATCAACTTTTAAACATCCTCTTTTATATAGTAAAATAATTGTTAAACAAATTTCACACATCTTAAAAAATTATTACAAGTTTTACTGCATTGAAAATCTGACACACTATAATATTAGTAATCGCTGTTCAAATAATTGCTAGGCGGTAGGCGGGCGTACAGGTTTCAACTAGCGTATAGGCCAAAAATCAATGATTAATTAAAGATTAGCTTTTTTATTAATTTATATTGTTTTAAATTTAATTACTTTATTAGTTTTTTATTTCATAAATTTTTAAGAAGGTTTAATTTGATATTATAGACTTTTTTTAAAAAAAAGCGGAGATGCAATAAAACATAAATATTATTTTTAATCTAGAATTTTCTTGATCAGTGATTTTTTTCAAATAAATCAGTAATTTTTTCAAATAAATCGGTGATTTTCTCAAATAAAATCAGTATTTTAAAAAAAAAAAAAAATCGGAGCTACGCAGCAGCAAATCAGAAGAACACCTAGAGTCTCCGCCTAGGACTAAGTCTTGGCCGCTACCCTCCGCCTAGTGCCTAGGTATATATATCATGGATGTGTATCAGTTTCGATTTAAATGAAAATGACAATGTCACCCCCTTATTAATAGTATCATTAATTTTGAAAACATGTTTGTTTCTGCAAGTCTTTGCAAAGCATCTAAAAGTCTTTAACACAATAAACTATAATGTAGTACTCTTTGAAAATGTCATTGTCTAATCATGATTACATGATATTTTATAAAATTTTATGTTGGCCCAACTATTACAATAATGTTTATAATGTGCAAACAGTGGCGGAGGCAGAAAATTTTTTTACTGGGGGTAAAAATTAATGTTGTTAAAATAATATGGTTATGGGGGCAAAAAACAATTATGAATGGGGGCATTTATTTAATGGTTTAATAAATTTGCACTAATCTAACAAATTTTATTGGGGGCAACTGCTTCCCTCTTGGTGCAAGTAGCTCCACCACTGTGTGCAAATGCCATGAACTATGCTAATTAGTATTTTTAATGGCGGAGCCAGAAAATGTTTTTATTGGAGGCAAAAAAATTGAATGGGAGCATATTAATTGATTAATGTGGGGGCTGTTCTTATAATTGTTAATAAATTATACTAATCAAATTTTTTTTATTGGGGGCAATTGCCCCCATCTTACTACACATGCCTCCACCACTTTATGCGGACTAATAATGCACCCGATATTTGCTGTGCTTATCATCTTCTAAATGTATTGGACTAATAGACCTCTACGAGATTCTACAATCTTGTCTAAATTTGTAAATGCTTAAAAATTTTAAAAACAATAACATAACTTGTTAATATAGAGTTTTTTTTTATAAACTCAATTGAAATGTGTATTCAATAACCGCTCTAAGTTTGTATGTCCTCTAAACGAGCAAAAAAAAGAGTTATTTTTTCTTTCTTCATAAAAGCGTTATTTAATGTTTTTAGATTTTTATTTAATAATTACAATGCTATAAAATAAAACCATTTTTCTTTTTTGTTTTGTCTTGATCCTCTCAAAACAACCCACCAAGACAAAGAGATAGATCTTCCCTTTCTAACGTCAAGACAAAAGTCCATAAATACCCCATTTCAACACTTCTCTCCTTCACCATGCAATTTGTCTTTCCTTGACACCAAGACTTCTCTCCAAGAATATCTCTCTTTTCAAAGTCCTTTTTCTGAATTTTCAAGATTCTTTGCAACTTTCTTGGTAAGCTTCTTTCTTCCTCTTCACAAGTTAGATCATTCAGTGAACTACTCTTCTTGATCTGTCAATCGATTGCAACTAAGTAACAAAATTCAGAAAACAGAGTACTTTTTGATCTTTAATTGTTTTTTCCTCTCTGTAAATTTCAAGATGGCAATAGGAATCTTCGGATTGATCCCAAGCTCATCACCAGACGAGCTAAGGAAGATTCTACAAACACTTTCGGCGAAATGGGGAGACGTAACTGAGGATCTAGAGAGCCTTGAAGTGAAACCAATGAAAGGAGCGATGACGAACGAAGTGTTTATGGTGAGTTGGCCTAGAAAAGAAACGAATCTTTGTTGCAGGAAACTTCTTGTTCGTGTCTATGGTGAAGGTGTTGACCTTTTCTTCAACAGAGACGATGAGATTCGTACTTTTGAGTTCGTGGCTCGCCATGGCCATGGACCTAGACTTCTTGGCCGATTTTCCGGCGGCAGAGTCGAGGAATTTATCCATGCGCGGGTAAGTATTTCTCCTTTTATTGTGATTGGTCTACGACTTTTTACTTTTATGTTCTGATTCGCTGATATAAAATGGTTTACCCTTTTTTAAGGGTATTAAAACCGGGAATTTCCTAACCGGAATTTTTCCGGTTTATCTTTGTACCGGTTGAGTTATACAACTTAGAAATGTTCAATCTGATTTAACCGATCCAAAACCCCTATAAAAAGGAAAATCATTTTTCGACCCAAAAAAATAGGAAAACCATTTTAGTGAAATGGTTGTTGGAATCATATTTAGCTGAAATGGTTGTTAGAATCAAATTATATAAACTAAGTTACCCTTTTTTATTGGGATTTAAAACCGGGGAATTTGGATCCGATATTGTTCCGGTTTAGACTTGTACCGGTTTAGTTACACAAGGTGCAATCCGATTGAACCGATTCAACACCGATCTGAAGAAAAAATTAAACCGATTTTCTGTTTTCCAGATTCTCATCTAAGCGCAACCGAGCCGGGAAAAAAACCAAACAAATCGAGTAAAATTTAAATTAATTATTTCATAAATTTTCAAAAGTTTTTCCAATCCTGTTTTTTAGTTGTATTTTTTGTTTTCGTTTTTTTTTTCTTTTTATTCGGTTTTATGAAATAGAGTAATCGGATTGAAACCGAATTTAGTTTGGTCTCGATTTGATATATTTTCGGTTTGGTTGGACTTCGTTTTCAGAAAACATTTTATAGGTAAATTTTTTTTTTTTTCCTAGTCGTTTGGCTGGAATTCGGTTTACCGTTTATGGTAAACATTTGACGGATTTTCAGGTTTTACAGTTTTACTCTGTTTATATTTCTTTTATTTCGGTTCCCTTTTCCTTTGCTCGATTAAAATTAATGAAATCGAATCGGTTTATACTTTCTTTGGTTTTTTGGTATGATTTTGGTCCACTTCAACTAGATTGAGCAAACCTTATAGCCTACATAATTGGTTTACATTTGTAATCTGGAGCTTTAAACCGGAATAAATCAAACCGAGTTATGGCCGGTTTAGCATTACAACGATTGAGTTGTACATTTCAAAAACAGTGTTTTTCCAATAGATTCCTTAGCAAATTCTTGTGTTGATCTTCCATTGTAAAATCTATCACAATATAATTATTGCATCTGTAACTTCGAATCAGACCCTATCCGCAACCGATCTTCGTGACCCGAACATATCAGCTCTGGTTGCATCTAAGCTAAGAAGATTTCACAGCATATACATTCCAGGAGATAAAACTGTTCTCATCTGGGACAGAATGAGGTAACAAACTTAAAAAAATTCAGCTTTTTCAATAAATGTTTCGATTACAAGATGGTAATATCCATGGGAACATAACAGGACTTGGGTAGGACAAGCCAAGAATCTATGTTCAACTGAAGATTCAACAGAGTTTGGTCTAGACAACATTGAAGATGAAATCAACTTGTTAGAACAAGATATGAACAATGAGCAAGAAATTGGTTTTTGTCACAATGATTTGCAGTATGGTAACATCATGATTGATGAAGAGACAAATGCCATTACTATCATTGTAAGTCTTACTCATAACCACAAATTTTCTTAACCTTTTTTTCCTTTTTTTTTTCCAGAATGGGGAAAAAGTAATTAAATCCCCAATTTACTCGAGGTAAATCGATGAACATGAAATTTCTCTACTTGTGTAATTTATCTGTCTAATCATTAGTGGAGTTTGTGTGAAAAATGGATTTTGGACAGGATTATGAGTATGCAAGTTATAATCCAATTGCTTATGACATAGCAAATCACTTCTGTGAGATGGTAGCAAACTACCATTCTGACACTCCTCATATCTTGGACTATACTCTATACCCAGGTACATAGATTAACCAAATAAATATTTATAATCCATAATCTAGTAGAGTTTACAAAAAAAAAAAAAAAATTATGGTTTGGGAAATGCAGGAGAAGAAAATAGGAGGAGATTTATCTGCAACTATTTCAGCTCTTCAGGTAAAAGCTATGTTCTTTTTGTTTAAAAGACTTGAGAAGACTCCTTATGACTAAAGCTAAAACTTGGTTTTTAACAGATGAAGAAGCAAGAGAAGAAGACATAAAACAGCTTTTGGATGATATTGAGAAATATACATTGGCAAGCCATCTCTTCTGGGGCTTATGGGGAATAATCTCTGTAAGCTAATTAACTTTCTCTCATGCAGATCAAAGTAGCTTTTAGTTGAGATTAAGAACAACAATAATCTCAGAAGCTTATATGATTGTGTGTGAATGTGATTGTGCAGGGCTATGTGAACAAGATTGAGTTTGATTATATCGAGTATTCGAGGCAGAGATTCAAACAGTATTGGCTTCGAAAGCCCCAGCTTTTGTCATTCAACCCATCTCCAAAGTAAAATATTCTACAAAAACGATAATGGACGCATAATATCTATAACTATAATGCTTGCTTCTGTTCTGATACTATTGAACGAGTAAAAGCTATAAATAATCAGTACAATAAATAATAACTCCACAGAAGAGAGAAAAGTTCCATACTTTTACCTGCAATCACAACTTATTTTCGAGAAAAAAAAATCCGTGTCGAAGATGGAGATTAAGGATCAAGAGCTGCCATTGAATGCACAGTATCAATGACTGAGTCTATAAGGTCATGAGACTTGCTTGTACCTGCAAGCGTCAAATGTTTTGTTGCTTCCGCTCTATCGAAATAGAATGAACCAGAGACTAGTTTCTCTTTAGGCTGCAATGCTAACCAAACGATTGTATCTGCTCCTTCTTCACTTGTTCTAAGTTTACCAGAGAACCTGGTTCAGAAGTTTTAAACTTTCTTTAGCTCACAAAGATGTTTGCTTATATCAGAAAGATGTTTTCTTTAGCGGATTTTTCTTACGATTCATTGAAACTCGGCAAACTCTTTGCCACACCAGGTGTCTCAGCCCATCCAGGGTGCATTGAGTAGAACCCTATGCCTTTGTTCTTGAATTTTTCAGCCCATTTCTCAGTCAGAGCCACCTAATTATTTCCATACAAACAAACTCAGAAAAACCGGAAGAAACATAGATTTTGACTAGTAGATTCTGATTTTACAGACCTGGATTCGTTTGTTCCGTGCGTATTGCAACACTCCATCAAAATTTTCACCACTAAACTGCAAATAATTAATATGTAGCCAGAGTTATAACATAAGTGTGATACAAATGTTTCCAAAAAGTTAAAACAAAATTGAAAATAAGCAATTCTTGAAGACGACATATTTAAGCTAGCAATTCTTGAAGATGACATATATAAGCAATTATTGAAGATGACATATATAAGCAATTCTTGAAGATGAATATATAAGCAATTGTTGTAAAAAAAAAGAATATATAAGCAATTTTTGAAGATAACATATATAGACAAATTCTTGAAGATGACATATATAAGCAAATTCTTGAAGATGACATATGTGTCCTGCATATTGATTACCTGAAGATCTGTTGTAAGTGGTGAAGTGTACATTCCACCAGAGGAAACAGTGATGACTTTGGCGTCTGGTGACGCTTTCTCCAACAGTGGAAGCATCAGCTTTGTCATTGTGTACGTTCCGAGTACATTGACCGCGAAGTTTAACTCGAATCTGATATAAACAAACGAGCAAAGAGATATAAAATCAAGATGAGTTGACTCAAGAAAGATAACTGAGAGTCTAGGACCAAACCCTTCAGGTGTAATTGTACGTTTGTTCTCAAGCAAACCGGCATTATTAACCTAAAATAAATCGAAAATCAGAATCAAAACAAGTTGAGCTTTAGTGAAATGTTTTTCTAAGAAACAGTACAAGCAAAGATGACATACCAGAACATGAACCGGAACATCCTTTGAAGCAAAACTCGTAGCAAATGACTTTATTTCGTTAACGGAAGACAAATCACACACCTAACAAAAGAAGCAAAGCTAAAAAAGAGTTGGTATCAAATCTGCATAGAAAGAGTATAAAAACTTGCAAAAAATGAATACTGAAACGTACTTCTAGGTACACATTCTGGTTTCCAGTTGAGCTTTGAATCTTAGTAAGAGCCTCTTGTCCTCTTTCTTTGTTCCGGCACACCATATAAACATTTGCACCACTGGAACAAAAAAAAAATTGAAAAAAAGAAAAGACTTTATATACTTTGTGACAATTCGTCTACTATTTCGCTCAATTCCATAAATGAGAAACCTTACCGTGAAGCAAGACCTTCAGCAGCGGCGTAACCAATACCAGAATTAGCACCAGTAACCACACAATTCTTTCCTTCTATTTGTATTTGCATATCCTCAGGTTTAAACTTCTTCGAATGCTCTCTGCCAAATCAGAGAGATTGCTCAAGAAATCAATTCTTATGACAAAGCAAATGATGAGCCAAGGACACAATATTTTAATCTCTCTGAATTTCGATTACTTTGGTCATGTTAATCGTCAGGCTCACAAAGAACAACAGGCAGAATGTATCATATCAAGTCCAAGCAAACAAGATTCAAGTGTATTCAGTCTAGAAAATCCATAAAAATTCCATCTTTTCGAATTCCACAGGGTTAAGAGCCAAGCAACAAAGCAAGAATACACAAGAGACTTCAAGCGAAATCAGAAACTCAAGCGTCATTACAGAACCTATATCAACTCGATCAAAGACTGCTAAAGGAATCAATTCTCATGAGAAAGCAAATGATGAACTAAAAATGTTAATCGACAGGCTCTGTATTTCGATTACTTTATTATGTTAATCAACAAAAAAACAACAGACAGACTGTATCATATCAAATGTAAAGCAAACAAAAATCAAGTGATCCAGTCTAAAATTCCATAAAAAATCAATCTTCTCAACCAGTATGGACTTACAGGAAACCGTTCTTTGTGAAGTTCATGTAGCCGTAAATTCCGAATGCGGTTGATCTCCATGTCTACAGATCAAAATACAAATTTGATCAGAAACTGTACAAAAACGTTACAAACAGAGTGAATTCAAGGACAGTAGCAGAAAAAGGACGTACCTTTAAGAGGAACATTTTGTTTGTTTTTACTGATTTGGTGTAGAGAGAGATGTTAGATTAAGTAATGTTGCCGAGTTTCAAACTCATGCGACGGCGTTTGGGAATCCTTAGACAAGTCGTCGATTCAGAAGAGAGAACTTCCGGTAGAGGATGCGCCACGTAGAAGAGAGCCTCACCGTGGATAGGAGTAATATGACGTGAGAAAATTGCAAAAAAACACCCTCAAACTTTTATTTATTTTTCAGCCGCGAGAAATGCAAAACAACCACTACTTCGCAATAAACAACCACTACAGTAAAACCTTTAAAAATTAATAATATTGAAATCATAAAATTTTATTAATTTATCATAATATTAATGTATTTATAAATATAGAAATAATCTAGTTTTACCTATAATTTTTTAATTTTCTTTTTACGAATAATGTTGTATTTAAGAATTTAAGCGAATATCTTAATACAAATTATGATTAATAAACATAGTTATCATAACAAAATAGTTTTTAATAACATATTAATTTATCTATTAAAAATATACATGTTTAAAAGTTCAAAATTTATAAAAAACCATGGTTATTATCAAAAATATGAAATTGAAAACAATACTACAATACATTTGTAAGAAAATCAATTATCACATTAAAATATTTTTACAAATTTGAATGTATATCGAAAAACAACAATAAGAAATAGAAATGTAATAAGCAAAAACATGAATACCAATAAAATTTCAACTTTAATTAAAAGCAAATACAAACTGGGAACTGAGTGCAAACAAAGTCTCAAACTCCGGCTTGGTATTCCAAACAAAAGAGGTGATGGTTTATATCTAGAGCTTCATGAATCCTTCACCGGATCTCGCATCGCCATTCTCCGATCCCTCACAGAGAAGCTCTCTCTTCGTGTCAATGGGTGGCGCACAAAGTTCCTTTCTCAAAGGGGCAAAGAAATTTTGCTTAAAGCGATTGCCATGGCTATGCCAACCTTCACGATGTCATGCTTTCGAGTTCCCAAAACAGTGTGCAAAGAGATGGTGACTATTATGGCCAAGTTCTGGTGGCAAAAAAATGAGGATACTAGAGGAATTCATTGGTCCTCGTGGCCTCGGATCAGCATCCCGAAGAGGGAAGGTGGGCTAGGATTTAGAGACATTGAGTGTTTTAACACTGCTTTTCTCGGAAAGCAGCTGTGGTGAATGCTCCTTTACCCTGATTTTCTCTTTGCCGGAGTGTTTAAAGGTAGATATTTCAAAGATTGCTCTCCTCTCTCGGCAAGAATAGGATCTCAACCATCTTATGCCTGGAGAATTTTGTTTTCCGCTCAAGACATTCTTCGTGAAGGTACGGTTCGGGTTATTGGCTCCGGTTCTTCTATTCGTTTGTGGGAGGATCCCTGGCTTCCTTCAGCCCCTCCTAGACCCCCAGACCCCTCCAAATCCCTGCAGATGAAAATGTGGCTCTGAGTGACCTGCTCCGCCAAGATGGGAGAGGCTGGGATGTGGATAAGCTTGCTTTGATGATCCATCCAGAGGATATCAACCTGGTAACCTCGGTAAGCCTGGGATCGGCATCTGCTCTGGATGGATTTCGCTGGTGTTTTAACAAGACTGGGCTTTACTCGGTTAAGTCAGCGTACTGGGCCATTGTCCATGTTCTTAATGCCAATAACCTGGATCTCCATATGTTTGGACCAACGATTAATCTGATGTTCAATGCCGTTTGGAGTTTTGATACTTCTCCCAATCTGAAAAACTTCCTTTGGAGATACCTCTCTAATAACTTGGCTGCTGCTGCAAACCTTGCCTATAGGCATATGGCACCGGATGCGAGATGCCAACGGTGTGGGGCTGAAAAGGAATCAGTCAACCACATTCTTTTTGAGTGCCCTTACGCTCGACAGGTCTGGGCCCTATCAGAGTGCTCCCATCTTTTCAGGAATGGTTTCACGGGTTCTATCTTTGCGAATTTCGCTGTGTTTCTAACTGAGGACAGGACTGGACTTTATGCTCAGCAGATGGTTCGTAAGAGTCGTCTCGTGTGACTTGTGGATTGGGCTGGATTATTCTCGAAGGGGAAGATTTGGAGTTTAGAGCTGGATCGATGGCTATCCCAAATGTTCCCTCATCACTCTTTGCTGAAGCGGAAGCGGTAAGGTGGGCCGTCCTCTGTTTAAGCCAGTCCCCGCATAGGAAGGTTCACATCTGCTCTGACTGTCAAGATGTGATTTCGGTGCTTCATGACCCTGATGCTTGGCCAAGTCTGGCTCCCCTGGTTCACAAGACCTTTGAGATTGGTCGCAGTTTTGAAGACTTTGCGTTCTCTTATAGACCTCGAAGCTATAATCATGCTGCTGATGGCCTTGCACGAGCTGCTAGTCAGCTGCAAACTTATATACCTTCCCTCGTTAATGTATTTCCTATTTGGCTACAGCCTTTGGTTCAGACTGATTTGCAAAACAGTGTATTCTCTGTTTGAAGGTATAAATTAGTATTTGTGTCCCAAAAAAAAGTAAAAGTAAATACATTAGTCATATTTTAATACAATATATTATATATATTTTCATAAATTTATACAATTATTAATTTATGTTTTCATTTGGACCATATATTTACATAGGGATTTCAAAAAAATTATTATCTTATTAGCTTAACGAATTTGATAGATTTTTATATTGGTCCGACTTAGAATCGGCAAATTTTATTATTTTATAATGATTATTATTTATAGAGTATTAATTTATAGAGTTTTACTGTAATTTGTGAAATATTAAGTTGTTTGCTAAAAAAATAAAACAATTTACAGTCTCTGAGTGATAATATGCAGAATTGCGAGATTGTATTTTTAAACGCAATTCTATTTTTGCTAATCAACAAAATTTTGTGGAATGAAAAATAAAACATATTTTTATTTACAAAATTATTTCCACAATTCAACAGTTATGCATTCCACAAAACTATTACTAATCAAAACCACAATTTCACAAATTATATAAATTCCAATAATTTAACTATCTAAACCTTTCAGTGGTGTATATAAATTACACATATCACTCCAGTTTTTACAGAGTACGTACAGCTTTGCAATTGCTTCAATGCACTACAACACTGAGAAAACACTGGAGAAAGAAATCAAAATCCAGATTCTGGTTCTCATAATAGGTGCAGGACCAGCCGGTTTAGCCACATCAGCTTGTCTAAACCGGTTGAACATACCAAATACCGTGGAAAGGAAGGCCGTACGATCGTATCAATCTTCGAGAAATTTACCAACCCTTAATCGTGGGGTCAACTCACAACTTTTTTGGTTTTCACTTGAAAATCTACACAAAAGTCAAAGTCAAAACCAACATTTCACTGCACCATCATCAATTCATCATCTCCTCTCTCAACAATGGTCGTTAATGTGCTTCAACCGTCTTTTCTCTCTCTCTCTCTCTCTCTCTCTCTCTCTCTCTCTCTCTCTCTCTCTCTCTCTCTCTCTCTCCTTTTCCATTCTGAGGCTCTCTGCAACTTTCTCTGCTTTAGGGTTCTTATTTGATTAGACTTTTCTGAACTCTAATGTCGCCTGGTCGATCGCAATTCCGGCGAACAGAGGTAACACCGATCTCTGTTTTTTTTGTCTGGGTCCTACACTCTGTTTCTATTTCTCAAAGTTAAGTTTTTTTTTTCTAGAATTTTTCGTATAACTGATGTGGAATGTTACAGAGGAATTGGGCTACGCTTTGCTGTTCTTCAGCTTCTTCATCATGTTTGCAACTCTATTGGGCTCGTCTTCTTCTCCGTAAATGGTTTAACATTTCGGCTACTGAATCAGATCTTACCGCCGATACAGACGATGAAGAGGATGATGATAGTGCTGGAGAATCTGAAAGTGAAGGTCAGTGTTTATACCCATTACCCAAAATCTGGCTTATACCCATTTGATTGCGTTAAATCTAAAGTTGGAAAAATCTGTTTTTTTTGTTAAGGAATCGAAGAAGATCATGTTGGTACTGATGGTATTGTGCTCTATATCTCTCTAAGCTTCGTTGAGATTAAGAATCATCCGGTTTTTTTGTATTGATTCTTCATATTAGTTGGAATGTTTTAGATGCAGAACCGAGGCTGAGAAGAAGGAACTCAGAAACGTTTAGAGTTCAGTATATGGAGACCAAAGCACTCAGGTCCTTTGATTTTCTCTGCTACTCTGTGAATGTGTCTAGTTCTCTGCATGTGTATGTGGCTTAACTTTAATTCACCAATAGTGAGTTCTTTGTAAATGTTGGTTTTGATGTAGCTAGAGTCTGTGTTGGGACTTGGAATGTTGGAGGAAGAGTTCCACCAAATGACTTGGATATTGATGGTTGGGTAGATACCATTGAACCTGCAGACATTTATGTCCTTGGGTATGGTTTTTTTCCTCCAAGAATCTCTCTCCTTCACACCGTAAAACGAAGACTTACTTCATTTCCCAATTTAACAGTCTTCAAGAAATCGTTCCGTTGAATGCTGGAAACATTTTTGGTATTGAGGATGACCAGCCTGCATCTGAATGGGAGGAAACTATACGTGATGCTCTAGACAGAATCCGACCAAGAAAGGTAAAGATTGTAAGTTACAGTGATCCTCCTTCCCCGTCGAAGTTTCAACCATTCGAAGAGGTCGCTGATGTAATAGAAGAAGATATTGTGGATACTAATTATGACAAGAGATCATGCTTGCCAAGACAGAGGCAATTTTCATCGCCAAAGACGCTGGACAGGTTGTTTTCTATGCAGCTCGACACTGGTTCTAAACGAGCAGAGAGTTTAAGCAGATGGTTTAGTTACTCTGAAAGAGTTGGTTTGAGCAGCTGGCCAGAGCCTCCATTGAGATTGTTAAACCAACATGTTCGAGAAAAACGTTGTTCCTTGAAGCCTTTTAAGAATTATAACTCTTTCAAAGCGAGTGTCAATAACAGTAACCATGATGTTGCAGCAGTGAACAAGACGCCTCTACTTGCGGATTTAGATTTTAAGCCTCTCATGAACGTGAGAAAACCATCGTATGTACGTATCGTAAGCAAACAGATGGTTGGAGTTTTTCTCACCGTTTGGGTTCGAAGGAGCTTGCGTAAACACATACGAAACCTCAGTGTGTCTACTGTTGGTGTTGGCGTTATGGGTTACATTGGTAACAAGGTCTTCTTCATTAACTTAATTCTCTTATTTAGTTTGGTTTAAACTTGACTGTAACATCTAATTTTTGATCCATTTTGGACTTTGCAGGGAGCTGTTTCTGTGAGCATGTCTGTCTATCAAACACCGTTTTGCTTTGTGTGCACACATTTGGCATCAGGGGAAAAAGATGGAGATTACAGAAAAAGAAACGCTGATGTAAGCGACATTCATAGAAGAACACAGTTTCATCCACATTCTCTTAGTGCGACCAGACTTCCAAAAAGCATCCGTGATCACGAGTATGCTAGATTTTATTCTCATAGTTGCACATTCCACAAAACTCTTTATGTTGAGATAAACTTTAACAAGACGAATGTTGCTCTGTAGAAGAATAATCTGGTTGGGAGATTTGAACTATCGGATTAACTTATCGTATAAGAAGACTCATGAACTTATTGCAAGAAAGGAATGGAAGAAGTTAGCTGAAAAAGACCAGGTACAGTTATTAAGTAGACTTAAATTAGTTTTGGTTGTTATAAAGCTAAATTTTGATATAGGAACCAAGCCAATGATTATGACTTAGGCTAGGCGATGCCTTAGGACCACTGTTTTTTAAGTTTTGGCAGCTAATTAGTTTTAGGTTAATGAGTTATAAGGTTTTAAATTTGAAACTTATGTTTTTTCAGGCCACAAATATATCTTATCTTATTATATAAAACATAATGTAGTTACTACATGATCGCGACAATTCGATCACGTAAATTGTTTCATATTTCTTTCAGATAATTACAAAATTGTTTTATTCTTAGCAATCAAACAAACCAAGTCAAAGAACTGTCAAAAATTTCATAGATATAATTCTATAATTCTTAATTTCTTTATTTTTCAGATTTGATTTTTTTATTTCTTTGATTTGCTATTTTTTAGTTTGCAAAGGGTCAATTTTTGTTTTCTGCCTCGGACCACCATATTTGTTGGACTGGGGCTGTGACTTAGACACTCATTATATTATGAATCTTTGCTAGCTTGCAAGAGAAATGAGACAAGGGCGAGTATTCGAGGGATGGTCAGAAGGAACTTTAGATTTTCCACCAACTTACAAATATGAAATTGATTCAGAAAATTATGGAGGGAACGATCCCAAATCCGGGAAACGAACACCAGCCTGGTATACTGTTCTCATACACTCAGTACAAACCTTTGTGGTGACATAACACATCAAAATCATCAATGATATGTACTTTAAAACTGAATGTGATTCAGGTGTGATCGCATTATTTGGTATGGGAAAGGAATGAAGCTTATGAGTTATAGAAGAAGTGAGATTAAACTCTCTGATCACCGGCCGGTCACAGCTACATTTGTGGTAGAGGTAGAGGTTTTCTCTCCTCGGAAGCTTCAGCGTACGCTCACGCTCACAAAGGCAGAGATTGAGAGTCATGAAGCTTTTGTACACAATTAACTATCTACTAAAATCACTCCATTTCTTTTGCAAATGTTTCATATCACATTCTTTTTGTGTCATGTCTCATAAAAAAAAACATGTATGTTCAAGGTTAGAATTGGAGGCTGTAGTGTAAAATACACAAATCTTAATTCATGTGTGCGTGTGTCACGTGTTAAGTATTCACGACAAAACAAAAACTATCGGCTCCATGTCTCGATCTCTAGCTATAATTGGGGTTTGATTGGTTACATTGTGATACAGTGGTACAAATTGCAATGCTTGTTTGTAACCAATCAAAAGGGTGGTACATAATTATTAGTACAAAATATGAGTCTTACAAAATAGAGAGCAGTACAAAAGAAAGATGATCGTGGTTCTGATTGGTAACACAGAAAGTAATGGTATCCAGAGCTGTGCTTACCATGTAGTGAAAAAGGCTTTCGCCTCAAGCCCCCAATGTTAATTTTTCAGGGTCCCCATTTTCTTAAGAGGTGGTTAAGTGGTTTATGGTTGGCATGAGGTCCTTTTTACATAATATGTTTTCTTATTTTTGTTTATAAGAGAGAGAAAAAGGAATAGATATAGGAAATAGATTAAGATTACCTTCTCCCAATAGTTTTAGGAAATTGATTAAGATTTGTTTAGATTATCGGCTTTATAACATCCTAAAATAAGAGCAAAACCCTAAAGCCCAAGAAAAAAAAAATTCATAGATTGCTTATCAGATATTGCTGACGATTCCAGTTTCAGTTGCCTTGGCTGAAAGAAGTTTTTCAAAGTTGAAGTTGATAAAGTCTTAGTTGCGATCAACTATGTCACAAGAAAGATTGAATGGCCTATCTATCATATCTATAGAAAGAAAACTAGTTAAGGACCTCGATTATGAGAGTTTGGTGAAAAAGTTTATTGAAAAAGAAAGAAGAAACATTATGTCTTAATTAGTTTTTTTAGATTAAAATTTTATTTTTGAATATTTTATATGATTTTAAAATTATATTATATTTTTTGTTAGAAAACATTTTTTTTAAATGAAAAAGGCCTTATTATTTTAGTTTGCCTTAAGTCCCTATAAACCTTCGCACGACACTGATGGTATCGTACCGAAGTTTTAGGTGGTATGAAAGATACGCGTATTAATAGAAGTGTGATATTATATATAGTACAAGATGATAGTAGAAAACATGAATTTCGATTGGTAATACTGTGACAATACGAGTAATGCAAATCTTATATATAAAAGAGGAAGAACTCTCTCCAGATTTTTGACATGTCAGCATCTGTGAGAGTGACACCTGTCCACCTTTAAAAAAAAAGCAACATTCTCGTCGTTTCTTATTCTCTGTGACTTTACGATTTGGAAACAAATGAAACTCACCGTCTCCCGTCGTTTTAGTTGCTTAGGAATATAAAAATCTTTCTGCACTTGGGCGTTGTCCTCTTCCTTCGCGTGGTTTCTTCTTCAGGTGATTCCTGAACTCCATATCTTTCATTCCTTCTCTTTTCCATTTATTTTACTTTGTTCATCGTTTTTTAATTTTCATATTGGGTCGATCGATCTATAGATCCTCGCATCTGATTGTTTGTTTGTGTAAAGTGTCCATCCTCCAAAACCCCACCATCCTTTCACGCTCCACACCAAGTATATAGCCGTTACCGCCTGGTGAACATCTCGACAATCAGCGATCGATGGAGGCTCCTCCGAAATGATTTCCAATTGGTAATTATTAATACCACGCTTTACTTTTCTCTGTTAGATTTTTTTTTGATTCTCGCTAATTTTATAGCCAAAGCAGTTGACCAAGCTAAGAGATGGATCGGTATTTGATGATAATTATTAACATCATGCGTATGTCTCCTTATATCGAAGGCATCAGGTCTTTCTCCCATTCCCTGAATTGTATTTCGATTTAAAATTTCTTGCGTCTTCAAAATTCTGCTTTCGATTGTCTGAACCTTAATGGCAGTTTCTCAATTGTAGACAGTTCTAGGTAGAATCATTCAAAAGCACTAATCATTACAATGTTTGGCTTCGTAATTTGTAACTGTATATAAAATGGATCAATCTTCTAGACCTTAAAAGCCTGCAGATTTGAGTGATGGATAAGGTCTGTTAGTTGTAGATTGTCTATTTTTTTTCTATGTTTCTGATTTTCTTTTCCCAAAAAAATCTGACCTACCCTAGATCGACTGATGAAGGGATTGGAATCAAAGGAGAAGGAATTCACCATATAGATGGAGACTTCTTGTTCTTCTCAATCGTGTAGCCGTGTAGGGAGGTTAACAAATAATACAGGTCTTGTCTCATCTCTCTCTCTTCATCAAAATCTTAGGTTTGTAAAATTTGACAAGTCCACCTGATTAGATAGGCAAAGAAAGAAAGAGGGCTATGTGCGAGTGTTCAAGCCATTCCCCCATTGTCGCTTCTCCTACTTTCCTGAAAAATTCCAGTCTTTCCTTCTTTGAATCTGATTTCAGTTGAATGATTATTAAGTAAGCTCATCTATTTCAGTTCCAAACAAGGAGCTTTGCTGTGAGGAAAACAATGACTGTGGTGGCAGCTTCTAGCAGTGGCTCGGCGGTGTTGGAGTAGGACGAAGACATCAATTTTAGTACTGGATTAGGAGGAAACAATAAAGGTTGAAAAAATCAGATATCCACTAAAAAGGCAAACGAAAAAACTCACATTTGCCTAAGTTTGGGTCTCACGGTTTGAGACGTCCTCTATACTCACTAACAATCTCCTTCTAACATATCTGGTCCATTTCTCATTTGATTTCTATTTTTTTCTTCCTAAAACCTTCAATTCAGCTACGTCTCTAATTCTGTTTCAAGGGATTTTGCTGTTGAATGTGCTTTAGTAGATCTCACCATCACTATGATTGTTTCATAAATCTTATGTTTATTATTGGAGACATGTCTTCACTCAATTCTTATGTCTCTAGACACTGGTATATCCTCTCAATTGCTGCTCGTTTTACTATTCATTAATAGCTCGAGTTTAGATGTAGTATGGAATATTTAGAGTTATAAACAATTGGAATAATTTGAATTACCATCATCACTGAAAAGCTCTTAGTTAAGTATGTATGGAAAGAGAGAAGCTATGAAGTGGTAGTAATTCACTAATTATCTTGGATTTGCTGTCTTTAATATAGATTTGCCTGAGTATTTGGGTGTCTTTGACTAGAAACTAATGGTTGTTCACATTGAGGCAGCATTAGCGAAGAAGCTTCCGTATCAGAAAAATCCACTCATGGAAGAGGTTATGTTTAGTGTGATCACATAGTCATTGGAAAAAGTGTTAGTAGTATGGTAATTCAGACACCTCTCTATGTACAAATCCTTCCCCTGGTAAAATGTTATATCCTCAAATTATCACCTTCTTGCGTTTTAGTGATTTTGTCTCCCTTCTTTGTGTTGGCAAATGTAGAAAAAAAAATCATGTTTTCTTATTTTACAAAAATTTGTAATAAATGTGTAAAGGAAAGACCTCTTCAAAATGTATAAAGGAAAGACCTCTTCAAACGTATTAGTTTTGACCAGTTGTGATGCTTTCTTAATAACTTTCTTGTCACTGAGAAGAGAACAAAATAAAGAAGGGGTAGTCACTTGATCCTTGCAGGGTGACTGAGTTGCTGAAAATTAGATGTGCATATATATGCAGTATAATTTGATTTGGCTATTTCGACCTTAACTAAAACCCTCAAAGAAGAAGAAAAAGACAGACAAAACACAGTAGATGGCAATAATTCTTCTATATCTAATCATTCATTTACAGTCTGAACAAATAAACTCAATGTACGTATATCTTAACTTTCAGTTACATAACAAAGAACAAAACAAAAAAGTACTATTAGTCTATCTAAAGATATAAACAATGGGAATAAAAACAATGATATATACAAAATGAAAAAGAAAATAAAACCACAAAACAATAAAAGGTATAAAATAATTTGAAAAAGAAAGCCGCGCATCGCGCGGGTACTCATCTAGTTATATATAAAAGTATCAGTTAGAAAAGAAAAAGTAAAAAAAAAATAAATAATTTATAAACCCACATATATGTTTTCACTAGAAAAATGTTAAGGAAGGAAAACTTTGATCCATTTTCTTCCCCTTCACTTCTCTTTTCATCTATACTATTATTTGTGAGGTCAAAAATCTGATATGTCGTCTCTACAACGATTGTCTCTGTCATTATTAAAAAAATGATGTGGCATTTAATTAGTTTTGATAGGTCGATCATTAATCATACATGTAAATACCCTTGACATGACTTTTTTCCTCGATTATGGGCCAGCGATTTTGTTTATAGACCACCGATCTCAAAGTCGGCTTTAGCCACTGATTTTGGTTATGGGCCACCAATATCAAAGTCAGTACTAACGTAAACCCTAGGATATCCATCATGCTATATATACTCCTCTCAGTCTTCATATTTTTTTACATACAATGTCCGGCTTCTAACGTCTAACATCTTTTAAAAAATTCATCCACCTTTTTTTTAAAAATCGATATATACTATTATTTATTCATTTGCGTAATGACAACCTACTATTTTTTAATAGTTCATACTTCGCTGATTAAAAAAATTATGTGGCGTTTTAATTAGTTCTGATAGATTGATCATTAACTCTACGTGTAAATACCCGTGACATGGCTTTTCCTTCAATTATGGGCTAGCGATTTTGTTTATGGGCCATCAATCTCGAAGTCGGCCCAAGCCACTGATTTTGGTTATGGGCCACCGATATCAAAGTCGGTACTAACCTAAATGCTAGCGTATCCATCATGATATATATACTTCTCTCGATCTTCATGTTTTCTTACATATAACGTCCCGTCTTCTAAGTTTTAACATCTTTTCTTTTTTAAATTCATCCATGTCTTTTTTAAAAATTGATATATACTATATTTATACATTTACATAATGACAACCTACTATTTTTTATAGTTTGTACTTCGCTGATTGAATATTTCATTTCTCCTTACAATAGAATCGTCAGATAAATAAAAATTTATGTTTTTTTTATTTTATTTTAGTTCGTGCTTTAAATATTTTTTCTGCTTCTAGGCGTTCTTCTTATGTAAATCCATTGCCACATAGTTATTTCCTTCAAAAAATTTATGAATATTCTGTAGCGACAAGCAATTGCCCCCTCCGTGATCCTCAAATTTTTCCATATCATCTGCCTCCATCTGAAATCGTTTTTACAGAAGATAAACATTTTTCTGCCGATGTTACAACGATAAATTTACAGGTTGGTTGAAGTGTAATTATGACTATTTTAAAGTTATATCGTACATATATTCTTAATTTCCGACCCATTGGGTTTGGGATCGTAAAACGTCAATGGCATCCCGTCTTTGCGGCAACTCCAGACCGAATATTATAGCCAATTGTAACCCTAACGCTAGCGAAGCCTACTACTTGTAAGTTTCATTGCATGTCGTTTGCGATCCATTTTTTTATATGGATATAAAAAAAATTAATAGTGTTGTCCACCCTACTTTCAAAGATGCATGTTATGCTTTGGGTTTAATTCACGATGATACCAAATATGTCGAAGCTTATGAGACAAGTCAATGGATGCTCCTCTCTTCGAATGATGTACACTGCTTTGTTACGTGCGGGTTTTATGATGAATCCTTTTTGTGTTTGGAGATCCATTCAATGTTTTTAGTAAGTTTTGTCAATTCTTTGCATTGTCTTTGATTTTTTTTTCCCTTAATTATCTTATTTTAACAATTTTTTAGATTTTTTGTTGTGTTTGGATTTAATTATTTTCCCTAATGTACTTTTAAATTTAATAATCATCAATAAAAATAAACGATTAAACATATTTCTAATTAGTTTTTGCTAATTAATAATTTATATAGTGTTCTTGATTTACCCATTCATAATTGTTATTTATTGAAATAAAAGACGTACAAATAGTTTTCCTAATATATCATATATATTGCTCTTATTTTTATTCACCTATAATTCTTATAACTTAGAAGTAGAAGTATAAAGAAGAAGACGTCGTTGATGATAAGAATTCGAAAAGGACGAATTTGAATAAAACCATGGAGAATAAGAAGCAGATGAGAACACGGAATGGTGAAGAAGAATAAGAATAAGAAAAAAAGATGTTGGAGTTAAAGAAGAAAACTGGAAGAACAAAAATTAAAGATGAAGAAAACAAAGTAAAAGAAGAAGAAATGAGAAAATGAAGTAGGTGAGATGAGAAAAATATGAAGAAAAACCAGAAGAAGAAGAAAAGTTTGATGAAGACCAAAGAGGAATAAGAAGTAGAGAATAAAAAGGCTAATAAGAATTGGAAAAGAAGAAGAACTGAGAGAATACAAAGATGATGAAGAAGAAGTCAAAGACAACGATGAAGATGAAAGAAAAGGGTGAGGAATAAGAAAATCGAAAGATATATAAGAGGAAGAAAAAAAAGTACAAGTCAAAGATGATGAAGAAGAAGAAGGAAAATATGAGGAAACAGAAGATAAAAAAAAGTACAAGTCAAGATGATAAAGAAGAAGAAGGAAAATATAAGAAAAAATAAGATGAAGAATTTGGGGCAGAAAAGAAGATAAAAACTTTAATATTGGAGACTGAAGAAGAAGACGAATAAAAATTGATATAAAGAATAAAAAAAATACGAAGAAAAACTAAACCAAAAAATAAAGAATATGAAGAAGAGTTGAACAAAACAAAAGAGGAGGAAGAAGAAGAAGACAAATCAGAAAAGAGAAATGAAATAGAAATTGTTGACGATGAAGAAGAGGAAAGAAAAGATAAAGAATTAGAAAATTGACATCAATGATAAAAAAGAAGAAAAAGACGAAGAAGAACAAAAAAAAAGGAAAAGAAAAATCATAATAAAAAAAATTATGAGAAGACGAAAATATTGAAAAATAAAAAGGGGGAGTGGATGATGAATTTGGAGAAAGAGAGAGATGAAGAGAAATTGACTTAAAAGCTCTCAGGGACATGTAGATGGAGAGAGAATGTGATGGAGAAAAATA